TCTCGGGATCTGCTACAGGATGCAGGAGATGGCGCACGTTTTCGGGGGGAAGGTGCCCTCTTGTTTTTCTTTTTCTTGAAATACTACAGTAATACAACACAACTAGTCCATTGCTGTGTGGCCCTGGATGGTTGTAGTTGTACGAAAAAATACAAAAATATACTGAAAAGCGTAGTACACATCTCACCACGAAAAATGGAGGACTGTCGCCATTTTAAGACGAAAAAAATAAAAATAAAAAGTGAGGGCTGCGTTTGTGTAGTTTGTATTTTGTTCCTGGTTGACGTCTCATTATCTTGCCGTTGCCGGTGTATTCGGGTCGTTATGGTGGTGGTGTCTATCGCCTTGTTTAAGGTGCAGAGTTGTAGGTGTGGTCGTGTCGAGGACATGAACCGCTCGTGAAAGCGGTACATCGTTTGTGGCGTAGTGGCGTACGGCACGACTGCCGTCCACAATTCCGCTGATCGTTTTTTGTCTCGCAGCGGCGTGTCCGTTGCTACTCTGTGCGGGAGGCGCCCAAGATGGCAACATCAACAACACCTGCAGACACTCGCACATCGATTAGCCGAGAACCACACGTGCACAAAGCACGAACGAACATCGGTGTTTTACAAGGCTCAATCTTGTGTCCAAGTGGCAGACAATGAAGGGATGTAGTAATAGCGATAACATCGATTATATGCCCAGGCGGACAGCGAACAGACGATGCAGCGACCAAACCGTCGAACGTGGACCGCATCGCCACGAAAAACGACCAGCGCAACAACAATCTTATCATCAAGTTCGGCGTCCACACGTGTCCAGGTGGACAGCAACGCCGCACAATACAACCGACCCAGAAACAAAAACATCAAACGTGGCGGAGCAACAGAAAGGTGGAGAGCAGAGTAAATAAACAAATAAAACGTCACAATTCTGTGTCCTCCTGTCCTGTCCACCTGTGTCCAGGTGGCGGCGGGCGAGGCCAGGGAATACGGCCACGCAATGGTGTCCCGGATACCGGCCAACCAGGCTGCCGGCAAGGAGCTTCTGGGAAAGCTGCCGGACACCACCAAGATGTGGATGAGCCACGGCGACAAGCTCACTGCCGTGCCGGAGGTATTTTTAGTTTTGTTTTTTCATCGCTCTTTTTGTATGTTCTGCCAGAACCTGAAGAATACAATAATACTCCAAACGAAAATGTAATTAAATACGCCGAAACATTTGAAACTTTGAACACACCAATCCTGCAAATCCGCTCTCGTGTTGTTGCATGTACAGTATAGCAAGGGATCGCCTGCAGTTCCTTGCTCCATCGGTATACGGCAGTAGGTGTGGTTCGACCTGTTAGCCTATGCGCAAGGCTGGGCACTAATGCTAATGTAGGAGCTCCAATCCTTGGTGACACAGAAGGGTTCTCTTTTCCCTCGGAGATTTCCTGTTCCCCCCTGCTGCGATGCGTACCTTAGATTATTAACGCGAGAAGAGAAGAGGGGGGTACAGAGCAACAGAGGAAATTCGACTGTGTACAGGCGGGGGAAGGGGGGGGGGGGGGGTTCTCCTTATCCTTCCTTCCCCCCCTTTACCCCCCCTCCCTTCCAAACCCGGACCGGGGGGGAATTTTTTCCCACCCTCCTTCCCCCCCGTTATTTCTTTGAACCCTTTACCCCCCCCTTCTTTTTTTTCCCCTTTCTCCTTGTAAATTAAGGCCCCCCCCCATCCGTTTCTTTTTATTGTAAGAATTTGTTCCCTTCTTTCTTTTTCCGTTTCTTGGAACCCCCGGGGGGGGGGGGGGGGGCCCAAAAAAAAATTCCCCCCCCCTT